TGAATTTTAAGGTTCTTTCTTCCTCGTGAAGAAATCTGGAGATGACACTGGGAGATTAAGAGAGTGAGAATTTATTTAAACAAGAACACATTACCAGAGGGAGAGCAGGCAAGCACGTGAGACACTGCTACCCTGGGTTTCCTTAGCAAGTCAGTTATGGGAGGCATACAAATGAATGGGCGGAAAATTAACTTGGGAAGGAGGAGTTTGGGAGTCTTGGTCCCTGACTTTCATCCCAGCTCCATTTTCCCTCAGGGAAGAGGGTTTTTGTCCTTTTTTAGCTTAGATCAGTAGTGTCATTGTGTTGGTGCATGATGAGTCCTTCTTATCTGTAAGGCTAATTTTATTGAAATGAGAGCAAAATGAGCAACAGGTTACATTCTAAAGCAGGAGATTCCTCCCTTTCTTAATCTGCTTTCAGGACATGTCCACCTAAAATGTGTGATTTTCTGTCAATGTGAAGGTGCCTTCTTTTCTTTGTCTGCCCATGAACCCCTTCTGTTTACAAGATGCAAATTTTCCTGCTATGCGTTCCCTGCCCACATTTCTCTGGTCATACCTAGCTACCTGCCTGCCGTAACACCCTGAACATTTTTGCAGTGAATATACAGATTGCTTTAGCCATTACTGCTCTCTGAACAATGTTAAGTTTTCCAAACTATGAACATGGGCTTTGTTTACATTACTTTAGGTCTTCTGTAATTTCTTTCAGCAATATTTTTGGATACATTGAACAGGTGTTTCATTTCCTTGTTTTTTCCTTGTGAAGCAATACTAAATAATTTAGCCATCTAACATTACCTTCAACTGATTAATTTAAAAACACCTGATGCCTGCTGAGATTCCTAGGCAGTCTCTCCTGCTCTTAATCTTTGCCAACAAATATGAATTAAATGGGTATAAAGAGCTACCCCATGACTTCACCTCTAGGCTTCAGTTTAGTCTTCTCTAAAATGTCCTGTCCTGGAAGCACAGGTCTGCCACGGGCTTCACTGATGGTATCTGTGTACAGAATTTGAAGAGGAAGTATAAGCATGATATCCATTTCACCATAGTAAAGGAACACTTTCTGTACATGTCAAATGTGGGCTCTTCAAATTGAAAAATAAAATATTCCCTGCCATACCAGTAAACAAAGGAAGTCACAGTCATTGGTGATTACAGCTACCACTGATGGTGAGCTGGTGAGCCTTGAGGAAACTCAGGAAGGAAACAAGGAATATCTGCCATCTAGCAGCCATCAGACCGTAGCCACTCCCATGGGTGAGTCCTGAGGAACTCTGTGAAAACATAGGATACTGGCCCCAGACTGCTGGCATGTATACCAAAGGAATGATTTCAGTGAGCCCAGACTCCGCATCTTCCCATACATAGAAAAGTGTTAAATTCCTTACACTGAGATATCTAAATTTCTTTTACTACTGAGATATCTAAATTTCTTTTACTAACAGTATATTTTTGTTCCTATTACCTTCCCTTGGTTGCAAAACTCTTATATATCCTAGCTCCCCCTGCACCTCCTTGGAGCTGTTTTCTCATTGCTACTTGAGAAGCTGCCTCCTGGGCTTGAAGTCCTCAGCTATGTCCATCGAATAAAACATAACCCTAAACTTTTACATTGTGCATAATTTTTAATTCAACAAATTGAATTGGTATGAAAATTACCTGTCTCAAAATTTCTTTTTAAAAACCCTAGATTTCTTCGCTGCAAGAAGTAGGAGGAAGAATTCAGGTGATGATATCCACTCAATACAAAACAAGTGCAGAGAGTTTAAATGTTTTATCCTCATTTATCACAAATATATAAGATAGATACTATAATTCTCATATTTACAATAAGAAAACTGTGGGTTAAGCAGTTTGAATATTGAGTCCAGGTGACTCACTGATAGATGGGATTTGTACTTGGATCCTTTTTCTGCCAATGCTCTTTCCACTAAGTAGACTATAGGAGCTGATTAAAAAAACATAACAATGAAAAATTCTCTGAATTAAAAAAAAAAACAAAACCTCCAATATCTCAAAAAATATCCCCAAACATCTCTGATGTAAAATCAAATTTTACCATATAATTTAAAATATTGTTTCATTTAGTCTCAACCTCACTCCCCACCCTTCACTCTCTCCTGCTCCATCCCATGAACCCCTTCTGTTTACAAGATGCAAATTTTCCTGCTATGCGTTCCCTGCCCACATTTCTCTGGTCATACCTAGCTACCTGCCTGCCGTAACACCCTGAACATTTTTGCAGTGAATATACAGATTGCTTTAGCCATTACTGCTCTCTGAACAATGTTAAGTTTTCCAAACTATGAACATGGGCTTTGTTTACATTACTTTAGGTCTTCTGTAATTTCTTTCAGCAATATTTTTGGATACATTGAACAAGTGTTTCATTTCCTTGTTTTTTCCTTGTGAAGCAATACTAAATAATTTAGCCATCTAACATTACCTTCAACTGATTAATTTAAAAACACCTGATGCCTGCTGAGATTCCTAGGCAGTCTCTCCTGCTCTTAATCTTTGCCAACAAATATGAATTAAATGGGTATAAAGAGCTACCCCACGACTTCACCTCTAGGCTTCAGTTTAGTCTTCTCTAAAATGTCCTGTCCTGGAAGCACAGGTCTGCCACGGGCTTCACTGATGGTATCTGTGTACAGAATTTGAAGAGGAAGTATAAGCATGATATCCATTTCACCATAGTAAAGGAACACTTTCTGTACATGTCAAATGTGGGCTCTTCAAATTGAAAAATAAAATATTCCCTGCCATACCAGTAAACAAAGGAAGTCACAGTCATTGGTGATTACAGCTACCACTGATGGTGAGCTGGTGAGCCTTGAGGAAACTCAGGAAGGAAACAAGGAATATCTGCCATCTAGCAGCCATCAGACCGTAGCCACTCCCATGGGTGAGTCCTGAGGAACTCTGTGAAAACATAGGATACTGGCCCCAGACTGCTGGCATGTATACCAAAGGAATGATTTCAGTGAGCCCAGACTCCGCATCTTCCCATACATAGAAAAGTGTTAAATTCCTTACACTGAGATATCTAAATTTCTTTTACTACTGAGATATCTAAATTTCTTTTACTAACAGTATATTTTTGTTCCTATTACCTTCCCTTGGTTGCAAAACTCTTATATATCCTAGCTCCCCCTGCACCTCCTTGGAGCTGTTTTCTCATTGCTACTTGAGAAGCTGCCTCCTGGGCTTGAAGTCCTCAGCTATGTCCATCGAATAAAACATAACCCTAAACTTTTACATTGTGCATAATTTTTAATTCAACAAATTGAATTGGTATGAAAATTACCTGTCTCAAAATTTCTTTTTAAAAACCCTAGATTTCTTCGCTGCAAGAAGTAGGAGGAAGAATTCAGGTGATGATATCCACTCAATACAAAACAAGTGCAGAGAGTTTAAATGTTTTATCCTCATTTATCACAAATATATAAGATAGATACTATAATTCTCATATTTACAATAAGAAAACTGTGGGTTAAGCAGTTTGAATATTGAGTCCAGGTGACTCACTGATAGATGGGATTTGTACTTGGATCCTTCTTCTGCCAATGCTCTTCCACTAAGTAGACTATAGGAGCTAATTAAGAAAACATAACAATGAAAAATTCTCTGAATAAAAAAAAAAACCTCCAATATCTCAAAAAATATCCCCAAACATCTCTGATGTAAAATCAAATTTTACCATATAATTTAAAATATTGTTTCATTTAGTCTCAACTTCACTCCCCACCCTTCACTCTCTCCTGCTCCAAAAAGTAAGTTCTGGATATCTAATGCACAGTGTAGTGATTATAGTCAACAGTACTCTGTTATAAACTTCATTGCTCTTACTACAAAGAACAAATTAGAATTAATTACCATGACAAAGGTATTACATAAGACTATACTTGTAATCATAATAAAATAAACAATCAAATCAACACACTGTACATCCTAAATTTATGCCATGTTGTATGTCAATTATCTCAATTTAAAATACTGTTCCACCATCCAGGTATACTCTTCCAGTAATTGATTCACAATTCTGATTGCAAGATGGTGAATGCATTATTTTTACCATTTCCCAGGTAATTGTAATATGCCAACAGTTTTGAAAATGTTTGAGAGCTTATGCCCTTAATTATCTAATTACCATTCCCAGATTCTTCTCTTTCCTGCTTGATTCTCTTTACTTTGTTCAACTCACATGCCTGGAGAGCTTTTGCCTCTCTTCTCTATCTTAGGATCTCTAACTCTTCCCCATATTTCTGGGTACATGAGATCAAGTTGTCCCCAAGCCTCCTACTGAGGAAGATTAATGGAGGGTTACTTGTGAAGCATCTCTCCCGACCTACTTTACAGCTTCCAGTGAGGACACAGAATAGCTCTGTGTCTTATTGTCCTGGGCCATCAATCTTACCCCATCAAACTCCTCACCAGTGGAACAATAAAAGAGAGTGAGCTGCAAGGAGATGGCTGAGGAGGCAGGTGAACAGGCCAGCCACGGTCTCCAGAGCTGCTGACATCACTCTCCATTATCTTGCTGTCAGGTAGGCCAGGTGGGGAATCTAGGAAGGTGTGGGCACCCTGGCATGTACCATTCCCAGGAGGGCTGCTCCAGGTTAGTCTTTCCAGAAATAACTGTTTCTATTTCCTGAGGAAAATAACTGAGGCACAATGTGTTTTGGTACTACATGCAACCAGGCTGGCTGACAGAAAAGCTGAGAGAGTAATCAGTTATTTCCATTTTGTTAACAGACTTATTTTCCTGGGCTCTCTTAAATGTCTCTGGGGAAGCCTTCCAATGATGACACTTTATTTTATTGAATTGTAGATTTGAGGGAAAGGTAAAATGAATAGTCATCTAGGAGGTGGGAGTAATTTCTGTAGAAATAAGAAGCTTTCTAGAACCTGGTTCTGGAGTCTATCTACCTAATGTGTCATGCACCATTGTTGCAAACACTTTTTAAGGTATCTTCCACAGACTTGATAACATGTCCTTCTTCTCATCATGGATCAAAGCTATTTTCATCATTGGTTTGGCATTTCCTCTTTATTATGGTAAGTAAAATTTTTAATCCTAGATGAAGCAGTTCACACATCATAGAAAATTCAGGAAACAACTACCATCATCTAGGAAGGGAGGAGCTTGGTGCCCTGGGTGTGTAATACTTAAGTTGGCAAAATGAAATGAGATATGTTACAAATATATTTTTAAAAATTACATCAGATTGGTTTTTATTTCCCACTTTGAAAGGTGGAGACAAAGAGGGTGTTTAGAATGAGCAGTAGAATTTAGTGCTTTGTTCATTTAGGACTAAAGATATCTATCTAACTTCCCCCTTTCTTGGAGGTCAGATTTCATGGTTGGTAAATGCAGAGTGTGGGGAGTAATACTGTCCTCTAGACCCAGTATCCCTCGACAATCCAACTCCTTGTTTGCCAGCTCCAAGTGTATTAAGGACAAGGTTTTGTGTAAGGAGAGAACTAATTGATCCCTCTACTGACAACTTATCTTTCTTAAAGCAAAGGCAGCCCATCAATTTCAGATTAGAGTAGCTTAAAGTTATTAAAGTGATTCATGAACCTCAAGCTGAGTACAAAGGAATTAAATGGTCATTTACTACTTCACATTAAGTGATTTCATACAAGCATATTACATGGCACTAAGCAAGACGTTGTTTTCTCTGACTAGAGTGTCTCACATATAAATATGGGGAAAAAGGGATCTCCACAGAAGTGTTTGGTGATTATTAAGCCGTACTTCATTTTTTAAAGATTGAGATGAATTTAGAATTGTTTCCAGGCTTCAAGTTATTTTTTGAAATTATTTTGATACTGCCACAAAAGCCTCACCTCATTATGGGAGGGGTTTGGGGTAGGCAACTTGCATAATATTTTACTATTAAAAGATGTGGGTACTTCCCAATAAAGACAGTGTTTTCCTCTCTTCATCTTCTTCTTTTTAATTTTCTTTTTTTGTGTTGGTTGCAGAAACTGCTTTTGTATCTTCTGGAGAAATTCGCAAAAGGGCAAGTTCATAGTACTTAATTTGGAAATTAAAATTTTTTAAATTATTTTTATATTTTAAATTTTAACAGAAAATTTCACCAGAAAAAGTAAAACATAATAACCCTTCAAAAAGTAACATAAAGTGTCATTATTACACTAAGTTCAAAAAATAGAACCTTACCAGACATATTAAACCATTTGTATTTTTATACAAGGTAAAATTACCACATCATTCAAAATTTTACTATTAGGCAGACAGACATCTGAAAAGGGTGTTTAAAGTAAGAATTTTTCCCCTCACAAACAAGAAGCTTAAGAAAAATAACTTTTCACTGAAAGGAATGAAAACTAATCATTTTTACACAGAGTCAAATATTACATAGAGGTGAAGAAAATCAATTATACTTCTAAACATCTAAATAAATAAAGGCAATTAAAGATGCTTAAAGAGTAGGTCATGTAAGAATACCCACATTATTGTTTAATTATGTATATTAACTACAGAGTCATCATTCACCCAATTACATATATACATATATTGTTAAACACACATTTACAAATAATCATACATATGAATACATACATATATGATGACAATCTGAAATTATAAGATTACCTAGTAATGAAACTATTGAGAAAAACAGTAGACTCACAATACATTCACTTTTATCATTTCTTGTGCTATGAGATAATGAGGAAAATCTCACTCAGGTATGAGAAGAAATAGGGGCAGAGTGGCTAAATTATTAAAATGTATCCAGCTATTCGAATGCTTTTAAAACATAACACTGGGGTTGTAAAAACATATCAATATATTTTTATGTCTAAACAGGCTGTTGATACTTGATGTTTATATTTAACCTCAATATAGAAAACATTTATTCTATTTTGATGCATACAATGTTGTATGAAGAATAAGGAATATTTTATTCAAAAAGTTCATTATCTGAAAAATTTGATGTTGTCTCTTTGTTTATCAGCCAGAATGTAACGTGTATAAGGATCAATTACACTTTTGCACAAAAGAAAAAGATCCAGTCTGTGCAACGAATGGCCAAACATACTCCAATAAATGCCATTTCTGCAGTAAAAAGCTGTAAGAACACAAGACTAAATATTGGTTCTCCCAAAATAATGAAGAAACAACCAGAAAATACTAGGAACATCCATGTTTCTGATAGCCAAGGCACAGTATACACAGAGAGTAACTGTTTTATCTCTGTGAAAGCCATAGAAACATGCCGGTACCTTTTCCTGAAGTCGTATTCCTAAAAGTAGTTTTATTTGACCTCCAAGTATATTCCTGCTAGATATGATCCACATGCATAAATCATTACATTAACTGGATTTTATTGCTATGACTTACTACTGGCAGTCTGCTTACCAATGCAATGTAATTCTTAACTCCAGAGGCTGAATGATAACCTCATGATGTAGCTCCAAACTACAGGGAGCATAACTGAGCAAGAAATTACTTACTTCATCAGTTCTAATGAGGTGGATGAACCTAGAACCGATTACACAGAGTGAAGTGAGTTAGAAAGAGAAAGATAAATACTGTATTCTAACACATACATACGGAATCTAGAAAAATGGTACTGAAGAATTTATTTACGGGGCAACAATGGAGAAACAGACATAGAGAATAGACTTATGGACATGGGGAGAGGGGAGGAGAGGGTGAGATGTATGAAAGAGTAACATGGAAACTTACATTACCATATGCAAAATAGATAACCAATGGGAATTTGCTGTATGGCTCAGGAAACTCAAGCAGGGGCTCTGTATCAACCAGGAGGGGTGGGATGGGAGGGAGATGGGAGGGAGTTTCTAAAGGGAGGGCATATATGTATACCTATGACTGATTCATGCTTGGGTTTGACAGAAAACAGCAAAATTCTGTAAAGCAATTATCCTTCAATAAAAAATAAATAGATTTTTTAAAAAAAGAAACACTACTGACTTCAGAAATCTGAATCCATCACAATTTATGTCAAAAAGAAACTCCCATTATGTCACGAAGAACCATCCAGGGGATGGTCCATTTTGTCCCCTGAACTCCATGACAGGACTCCAAACTTTCTTCAGAGAGCAGGGCAGTCTAGAACACTTCCACCCAATGTCCCTTCCTGCCTCCTTCCCTCTGACAGGGTTTTCGGTCTGAGGGTTCAGCCAGCCTTCCTACCTCCTGCCTCATTTTCTCTCACTGGTGTTTTGTCTCACTGAATCCCTAGATGGACTGTTACTTCTAGAGGACCAGGAAAACAATCTCTAATCCTCCTCCTTAGGTCTGGGAGGGTTCCCAGACCTCAAATGGGAGAGGTTGAGGCAGGAGGGAGCATGTAGGAAGAGTCAAGTAGCCCCAAGGGATCAGGAGGACCTGTCGGGGGGGGGGGGGTCCTGTTGTGGAAGGGAGCATAGCCCTCCTGGCTCTCTCACAGTCAAATTCCCCTCATGGAGAAGCATTTAGTGCAATACTCAGACAATTTTAAATACTTTAATCTTTTTTTTTTTCTCTTTTTCTTTCTTTACAGAGAAAACAAAGGAAAATTTGATTTTAGTCACTGGGGTCATTGTTGCTGACTCTGCCTCAACCACACATTCCTATGGCATTTATTGCAATCCTATTTTGCCATGGATTCTACAACCAATCAGTCTTCACAATCAGGGCTTAAAGTTCCTAGATGAGTAGTAGTACACAAGATGTAGTACAGACTGTTGGAGAATTTTTCAACTCTAAGAGCCTGCCAGTGAAAGATTTCTATTTTCTATTTTCGATTATACAATGATGGTTGAAAAACCTATCTTAATTGTGTGTTCAGTAACAGAAAACCTAATGCAATCTGTAATCATGAATATTCCAGTCAATAAAATATTAAATACTATTATCTTTATTAAATTACCCTTTCTTTTTTTTTTTTTTTTGGTTGGATTGGATTCAGTTCAGTTCAGTTCAGTCGCTCAGTCATGTCTGACTCTTTGTGACCCCATGAACCGCAGGATGCCAGGCCTCTCTGTCCATCACCATCTCCCAGAGTTTACCCAAACTCATGTCCATTGAGTCGGTGATGCCAGCCAACCATCTCATCCTCCGTCATCCCCTTCTCTTCCTGCTGTCAATCTTTCCCAGCATCAGGGTCTTTTCAAATGAGTCAGCTCTTCACATCAGATGACCAAAGTATTGGAGTTTCAGCTTCAACATCAATCCTTCCAATGAACACCCAGGACTGATCTCCTTCAGGATGTACTGGCTGGATCTCCTGGCTGTCCAAAGGACTCTCAAGAGTTTCCTCCAACACCACAGTTCAAAAGCATCAATTATTTGGCACATAGCTTTCTTTATAGTCCAACTCTCATATCCATATATGGCTACTGGAAAAACCATAGCTTTGACTAGATGGACCTTTGTTGGCAAAGTAATGTCTCTGCTTTTTAATATGCTGTCCAGGTTGGTCATAACTTTTCTTCCAAGGAGTGAGTGTCTTTTAATTTCATCACTGCAGTCACCATTTGCAGTAATTTTGGAGCCCAAGAAAATAAAGTCAGCCACTGTTTCCACTGTTTCCCCATCTATTTGCCGTGAAGTGATGGGACCTGATGCCATGATCTTAGTTTTCTGAATGTTGAGCTTTAAGCCAACTTTTCACTTTTCTTTTTCACTTTCATCAAGAGGTTCTTTAGCTCTTCTTTACTTTCAGCCATAAGGGTGGTGTTATCTTCATATCTGAGGTTATTGATATTTCTCCCAGCAATCTTGATTCCAGCTTGAGCTTCATCCAGACACACAGATACTTCTGGTAACTATAATTATAGAAATAGTCTCAAAGGTCAATAAATAATCCATTACTTGAAAGTTTATTAAAAAGTACAGACAACTGCACTTCTCTCTACCATAAAGCTTCAAAAGCTCTAGAAGAAGAATCTGGGAACTTGAATTCTCACAAATACTCCATGTCAATCTTCTGATCAAAAATGTTAGCCAAAACAGACTTAAATTCTAAGACACAGGACATACCTGTAACTTAATGAATTGCAGAGACTATTCAAAGACATTGGATGATTTCTGAAGCTTGGGAGGAAAAAAAGTATGTTATTTTCTCTCTCATAAATCGTCAAGAGACAGTTCAGTGATCCTGGCAGGCCAGGCAACTCCGCTTTTACTGATCTAGGATATTCATTTGTAGTCCAAGTCTGATGCTCCTCTACGTCTCTTTACCTCTAAAAGAACAAGAAACTGAATGAAATTTGATTGGTCAAAAACTCAATTAAAGTTTGGTTTTAATGGCAGAAATACAGACTGCTAGGAAGCAAGTTTCAAGCTGCTACGTATGTGATATCAGATCTGCTCTTTCTTTCATTAAATATTTTCACCTCTAAGAGATAATCTATATGGGAATTACTTTCATTTACTTTCCTTAGTATTAATTCTTAATGAAAATATCCATTAAAATGTACAAATATGGAGCCACATTATAAAAATGAATTTAACTACTTTTATGGTTTTTTTCATTATAGAATGCATATATAAAAACATTATTCAGTGAATGCTGGTAAATTCATGTATGTATTCTTTTACCTGGACGTGAGGTATCTCCACACAGCTGGTCCAGGGAAGTGCAGCTACCGCTCTTGACCTTGGACGTGGGGTATCTCTTCAGGGCTGTTCCAGCGCCGCGCAGCCACCACTCCAAGGTCAGAAAAACCCCAGTAAGATGGTAGGCACTGGAACGGCTGTGAGGAGATACCCCATGTCCAAGGGCAAAAGAGAAGCCCCAGCAAGACAGCAGGAGCAGCGATTCGCATTTAGAATCAAGCCCTGTTCCTGTCAGAGCTGCTCAGAGGGTTCAAACAAACCTTGTGCACACCAGGACCCAGGGACCCCACAGAGACTGAGACAGAACTGTGTTTGAGCGTCTCCTGTGGAGGTGTGGGTCGGCACTGCTCTGCCACAGGGACAGGGGCTCTGGGTGTGGGTATGACAGAAGTCCTCTTGGAGGATGTCACCATTAACCCCACTATAGAGCTGCCAGAAGTTACCTAGGACTGAGAAATAGACTCTTGGAGGGCACAACAGAACCTTGTGCACCAGGACCCAGGAAAAGGAACAGTGACCCCACAGGACACTTGCCTGTGGGTGTCAGGGAGTCTCCGGTGAAGGAGAGGGTTGGTGGTTGCCTGCTGCAGGGTTGGGGGCACAGACTGTAGGAGTACATGTGTGGGATCTCACCCCTCATCCAAGGTAAGGAGCAGCGGCTGCGCTTTGCTGGGCAGCTGTGAAGAGATACCGCACGTCCAAGGTAAGAGAAACCCAAGTAAGGCGGTAGGTGTTGTGAGAAGGCATCAGAGGGCAGACACACTGAAACCATAATCACAGAAAACTAGCTAATTTGATCACAGGACCACAGTCGTGTCTAACTCAGTGAAACTAAGCCATGCTATGTAGGGCCAACCAAGACGGTCGGGTCATGGTGGAGAGGTCTGACAGAATGTGGTCCACTGGAAAAAAGAATGGCAGACCACTCCAGTATTCTTGCCTTGAGAACCCCATGAACAGTATGAAAAGGCAAAATGATAGGATACTGAAAGAGGAACTCCCCAGGTCGGTAGGTGTCTAATATGCTACTGGAGATCAGTGAAGAAATAACTCCAGAAAGAATGAAGGGATGGAGCCAAAGCAAAAACAACACCCAGCTGTGGATGTGACTGGTGATAGGAGCAAGGTTCAATGCTGTAAAGAGCAATAACGCATAGGAACCTGGAATGTTAGGTCCATGAATCAAGGCAAATTGAAAGTGGTCAAACAGGAGATGGCAAGAGTGATTGTTGACATTCTAGGAATCAGTGAACTAAAATGGACTGGAATGGGTGAATTTAACTCAGATGACCATTATATCTACTACTGTGGGCAGGAATCCCTTAGAAGAAATGGAGTAGCCATCATGGTCAACAAAAGAGTC